GTAACAGGCCCCCAGACCTTAGCAGGACTGACACCATGTTGCAGGCACCATTCTGACCTGAAAGCTTATCAAGTAGGCCCCAACACCTGCCATATTGACCCATGAGGACAGTGCTCCAAGAAGCCATGCTTTTGGGGCCCCGTGATAGCTAATCTTGACTGTCAACTTGACCACACCTGGAATCAACTAAAGCCCTGGCCGCTGGGCACACCTGCGAAGGATTATTCTTGATTGGATTTTTTTTCTTAAAAAAATTTTTTTTTATTCATTTTACATACCAACCACAGATCTTTCTCTCATCACTCCTCCTGTTCCTCTCTTGACTGGATCTTTTGAGGCAGGAAGAGCCACCCTACACACCTTCTGGTGGCAGCCTGCATAAAAGGACGTGGAAGAAGGAAGCTTTTGCTCTTTCTTGCCTTCACTCTTGCTGGCAAGTTCATCTGCTCTGCTGCTGAGTCGTTCCTTCACTGGTATCAGAGGCAGCTTCCAAGGTGCACCGAAGGCCAGCTGAGACATCCAGCCTCTTGTACTGAACAACGCCAGACAGTTGGTCTTATGGTCAGGAGGCAGCCATTGTTGGTCTAGCCAGACCAGAGCCCTGTAAGCCATTCTAATAAAATCCCCTTTATATATATATATATATATATATATATATATATATATACACACACATATATATACATATATACATACATACACACACATATATACACACATATATGTATATATATGTATGTATGTATGTATGTATGTATGCATGTATGTATAGACTCTCTATCTTTACCCCGGAAGTAACCAGGGGATGCCTGGAATGCTAGCACCTGGGGTGGCTAAGCATTTTTCCTGAATGCTGATGGCACATGTGCGGCCGTGGGACCCCGGAAGAGGCTAGGAGGATGTCGGAAATGATAACAACCACGACAGCACCCATGGCTGAATTCCCCGAGTGGACTTCCTAGAAGACACGCAGAGAGAATGATCTCGTGCCTACCGCAGTCTTCACAACCTCTGGTGTGCAGTAGACAGACCCTCAGTAGCCAATCTGGGTGTCAAGGAAGGAGCTGCTGGGAGGCTGTCCCCACTCAGAAGACCGATGCTGACGAATGAATAACACGTGACTGGAAGGGTCTTAGGCACGAGGCCAAGAGACTAAAGAGAACAAGGACATGCATCTGGGGTGAGAAACATGCTCGGGGGCCGGAGAGATGGCTCAGTGGGCAAAATCACTTGCTCTGAAGGCATAAGGACCTGAGTTCGAATCCCCAGCACCCACATAAAGAACCCAGACATGGTCATGCATTTCAGTAAACCCAGTACGCATACACGCAGACAACAATACACGTAAAAGTTAAAGAAAAATGCTCAGTGGCTGGGAGTGTACTGCGCTCGCCTAGTGCATGGGAAGCCCTGGTTCCATTCCCAGCACCCAAAGGTAAAACCACAAAAAGACAACAAGAGATGGACACTGGCCTTCAAAAGGGCCACCTCTCCAGTGGATCCAGAGCAGTCTCAGGGCCTGCCAGCAAATCTCACTCGTCCTTTAAGTGACCTCTGATTTGGTCTCAACTTTTATTTTTCTAGAACATTAAAAATCGGTTTAAGATGACCCAGATTCGGGGCAGGGCAGGGGGATGTCCTGATATGACAACTCTGACTCACTCGCTTCTGCACAGAAGCAAAGATGTTCCCTATGCTACCCCACCATCCAACTCCATCCCCCACCATCCCCCTCCATCTCCTTCATCCCCCTCCACCTCTATCCCCCACCATCCATCTCCATCCCCCTCCATCTCCCACAATTCCGCTCCACCTACATCCTCCTCCTCCATCTCCCACAGTCCCCCTCCACCCTCATCCTCCTCCTCAATCCCCCTCCATCCCCCACAATCCCCCCCCACCCTCCACCATCCCCCTCCATCCCCGCTGGGACTGATTATTGGCGGGTGTGCATGAGTGAATTTTGGGGTCACAGAGAGTAATCGGATCTGGCCAGGCTGAGGCAGGTGACCTGAGCTCTTGGATAAGGAGATTAATCTAAATCTGTCAGGGAAGATATCTTCTCAAGACAGCCTGGGAGCCGGGATGTGAAAGCCGAACTTGGGAATCCCCTCCCCATATTCACGGCTCTAACGCCATGGGAAAAATCCATCACTGGGGCTGAGCCCCTAAACTATAGGTGGGAAACCCAGATCACACAGAACCTGGCGGAGGAAGCCGGATAGTGCGTGTGGCAGAGGCGGTGAACCGGGGTCTTCAGGTCTTCTTCAGACCCAGGCAGGATGAATGCCATTGAGTGGAGTCTGGGTCCAGTCTGGGTTGGGATCATGGCTTCAGTCTGTGTGAAGTCACTGCCCTACCCTGGATCTCCATTTCCTCACTTGTGAAGTTGGTCAACACTGGCTCACCCTCCTCAATCTGCACTGTGGACTTAGCTCTGCCATCCTCCGGGCTCCTGCTTTCTCCTTCCCCTGAGTCCTGTGAATGCTGTGGCTGGATGATTCCTGTTTTCCCACCAAGATAATGGCTGATACTCCTAAGGCTATAAGGAGAACTAGATATTTCCCAGGAATCTGGGAAGCCTAGAGGTGGGAGCTTCCAGGTCTGTCTGTCAGCTCAATGGCATCATCAACCCCCAGTCCTTTCTCTCTTTTGCTTCACGGCATGTGTCGAAGTTCCTCCATATAGTGCCAAGTAGGCTGCTGTAGCGCCAGACATCAATGCCTCCTACGGAGTCCCAACAAGGAAGAAAAGCATTCCGGTTATTGAATTCCGTGGACTCCACTGTGGTATCACAGCATCTGCGAATAACCACGAGCTATTAGATTTTTATTCCTTGGGCTGATTTGTGGGTTTAACTAGACAATGTATTCTGATCCCGGTGGGTGAGGGTATCTGCTAAACTGCACGCAGCAAGCAGCTGAGTTGGTTCAAGAAGGCTTCATTCGATGGGCAGTGGTGGCGCACACCTTTAATCCCAGCACTCGGGAGGCAGAGGCAGGCGGATCTCTGTGAGTTCGAGGCCAGCCTGGTCTACAGAGCGAGATCCAGGGAAGGCGCAAAGCTACACAGAGAAACCCTGTCTTGAAAAACCAAAGAAGAAGGAGGAGGAGGAGGAGGAGGAGGAGGAGGAGGAGAAGAAGGCTTCATTCAAGTGCCTAAGGCTTCACGAGGCATCTCCAGTTGACTACCTGGTGCTTCATCATGGTGGTCTCACGGCCATCTTTCATGGTGGCTGGCTTGTCCTTAAGTCCTAGCCAGAAACTGCCCCAGTCTCCCCCACATCACGGGAAGTTACAGCTACAGCTTTTGACTCCAGGGGAGGGAGACCCTTTTCCCTCTTGGTGGGTGGAGCTGTGGGCGGTGCGGCAAAGGTTGGACTTGGTAGGTCTGTGGCGTCCAAACCCTGAGCACTCCTGAGGACGGCAGGCCCCTAGGCTCCTGGGAGACAACCTCCCAGCCTTCCAGCCTTGTATTTGAGCTGGGCCTCTGGAGTAGGTGAGACTGAGTGACGAAGACTGGCCATGCAGCATTGGCTACGCTCACCTGACCGACCCTCAATAAGCGCTGCAGACGTCGAGGCTCAGGGGCATCTTCCTACTGTCGGCCATTTGTGCCACAGGAAGAAGCTTTTTGAATTCAGCATGGGGAGACCCCACCGGGCGTCCAGGGCCATTGTCTCCCAGAATCTGACCCTTGTCTTTAATCTTGCTGAGTTTAGTCTGGGTCTTGTCACCAAGATAAGCCACGAATGAGTTCCTCCAGCCTCTCTGAGGGCTTGCTGAGCCCAGCTGGTCTCAGCCGCCATCACTGGAGATGGATCTGTAAAAGAAGAAGTGATGGCGCTGGACAGCGGTGGCACACGCCTTTAATCCCAGCATTCGGGAGGCAGAGCCAGGCGGATCTCTGTGAGTTCGAGGCCAGCCTGGGCTACAGAGCGAGATCCAGGACAGGCACCAAAACCACACAGAGAAACCCTGTCTGGGGGGGGGAGGGGGAGAGAGAGAGAGAATCTAGCCATCTTGGGGTGCCCTCCTGCCAGGACACCTCCTCCTGGCTTCTCTTTAAGTCTCACTTGCTTGGAAGCTTGCCCAGCCCAGGTCTCCATAGGCCGGGTGTGGCCAGAGGGTCACAGTAATCCACCCCCAGGACTGGGCATGCCCAGCAGAAGCTAAGCGGGAGGCATCAAAGGTGACAGGAGAGCTAGCTTACTTACCCTCAAATCCCAGAGGAGGAAACAGAGGCCAGTGAGGTCCAGGGCCCTGTCTGAAGTGTCACAGCTAGCTAGTGGCAACCCAGGTCTGCGTGACTCTAGGACCCAGCTCTCCAAGCTGTGGTGAGGATGGGGTCACAGCGCCAGCGTTGGGGACTCCGTGGGAGGGAACTGGGCCACAGGGTGTGCTCCAGAAGGCCATAGAAGGGGAGGGACATGGCCGCTGCTTCCTCAGCTCCACACATTCCCAGAGGGCTGGGACACTGCTTCTCTATGACATTCACTTGAGAAAATGTTTATAAGTCACATTTATTTATTGATTGGGTGGGGACGAGCGCGCACCACAGCATGGGAACGGAGGTCAGAGGACAACGTTCTGGAATCAGTTCTCTCCTTCTACCCAGGTGGGGCCCAGCAATGAATGACCTACCAGGATGAATGACCTCCCTGGCCTGGCACTGACGAGGGCCCTGGGTTTGACTGGCAGCACCTGAGTTCGAAGCCAGGTGTGGTGGCAGACTCTTGTAACCCAGGGGCTGGGGAAGTGGTGACAAGCAGACCCCTAGAGCTTGATGGCCAGCCCCAGGTCTCAGGGAAAGACTGTCTCAAAAAGCAAAGTATGAGTTGGGGGTTTAGCTCAGTGGTAGAGTGCTGGCCTAGGCCCTGGGTTCGAACCTCAGCTCCAGAAAAAAAAAAAAAAGAAAAAAAGAAAGAAAGTTCATTCAGCCTGTGGTGGCGGTGCACGCCTTTAATTCCAGCACTCGGGAGGCAGAGGCAGGTGGGTCTCTGTGAGTTCAAGGCCAGCCTGGGCTACAGAGCGAGATCCAGGACAGCCAGGACTACACAGAGAAACCCTGTCTCGAAAAACCAAAAGAAGAGAAAAGAAAAACCATTCAGAGGGGATAGGATCCGGGAACTGTCTCAGAACTGCTCTCAGGGGATTTAGGAGGAAGGAGAAGGCATGTGGGATCTTGGACGAGCCCTCCTCTTGATCTGTGTGGAGCAGCTCACCCCGTGGCACCACAGAAGACGCAGATCGGCCCGGCCCCAGTGTGCCACCCCCTCAGACCCTGGCTAGCAGGAGGAGGCCAGGAGAAAGTCAAGCCCTGGGAACTTCTGGCTTTCCCTCTGGAGCTGGTGCAGGGTCCAGTTCTTTGTTAGCAACAACAAGGTGTGTCAGGAGTTGAGGATGACGGACCAGCAGACACTTGTCCTTGTAGTTGAGGTCTTGGGGCCTAAACTGAGCTCACTAAACCAACCCACAAACTGTATAATCTGCTTAATCTTGAGAGCCTGTTCTGCAAAGGATCCTGGGAGTTGTAGTTTAAAGTTCTCAAAGTACTATCCCAGAAGCAGGAAGGGAAGAAAGAAGGGAGAGAGGGAGGGAGGGGGGAGAACAGCTCAGTCCCCTTGCTGAGGAGGGACAGCCTTTCCTTGGATCAGCCTGGGGCATCTCGTCCCTTCTGCCACCTCCAGACGGTGGCCAGGTGTCCCTAGCATCTTGCAGGGTCATGGGCAGCAGCATGGTGCCAAATTGAATTGCATGCTGGCCTCCCTCCCAGGCTGGTCTCCATCACTGCCCTCTGGCCAGGGTCACTGCAGCTCAGGACACGAGAAGGTCACCCGTTTGTCACAGGGGAAGGTGGGGGAGGGGATGTGATGGTTGTTAGCAGAGTTTGAGGGTACAGCTGGGGTGATTTAGGGATCAGGTCAGCCACTTGTCTCAACATGCCAACTGGAAAGAGGCGTGGACAAAGGCATAGTCGGTCAGCTAATGTGGCCACCCTGGAAAGAAGAGATAAAGGGGTTCGGTGACCCCAGCTTTATGTCCTGAGGCACTGAGGGGAGCTTTAGGCTTCCACTAGAGGAAGAACTGGGTTAAGGGCTGGCATGACTGTGAGGTCTGCTGTTCCTGGAATCCAAAGTGGCTGAAGGTTAAGACGATGGCCAGAGAGCTTATTGGGGGGGGGAGGGGGTGGAGGGTGGGAGCAGTCTGGAGCAGGGCATTGTGGGAGCTGACCTTCAGATATTTCTTCACACTGCTTTCTGCATCCTCAGACTCTCAGGCCCTGAGCTCAGCCAGGTGGGCAGTATCCCGAGGAATCAACACCGTACTGTTCAATCAAGCAGGAGTGTGACCTGAAGAAAAGGGACAATAAAGTGAAGGCACGAGGCACACACAGCATGGCGGCGCACGCCTTCAATCCCAGCATTCAAGAGGCAGAGGCAGGTGGATCTCTACGAGGTGGAAGCATCCTGATCTCCACAATGAGCTCCAGGAGGGCCCAGGCTGCACAGTGAGACCCTGCCTCAAAACTAACCAACTGACCAAAATGAGAAAATAAAATAAGCAAAATGTGAGCAGGGGTCTACAGACTTTGTCCGCTGCCTCTCTTCCCTCGACAAGAATTGTCGCCGGGATGGGGGATCCAAGGCTCGACTCCCCAAGCTTGATCCCCAATTCTTGTGAACTCCGTTGAAAGAATTCAAAGTGGAGTGTGGAAAAGAGGCAGGTTTAAGCCAGGCGGTGGTGGCGCACACCTTTAATTCCAGCACTCGGGAGGCAGAGCCAGGCAGATCTCTGTGAGTTCGAGGCCAGCCTGGTCTACAGAGCGAGATCCAGGACAGGCACCAAAGCTACACAGAGAAACTCTGTCTCAAAAAAAAAAAAAAAAAAAAGGCAGGTTTCTCACAGAGCAAAGTGGAGAATGTTCTCCCAGGGTGGGAGTGTCCAAGGGAAAGGGACAATCCTAGCCATGTCCTTTGTCACTAAACCTGCTTCGAGATAAGGATCTTGCAGGATTTAGACGGTTACCTATTAACACAGTCAGAACTGTGACTCAGAGCCCATTCTTTTGGCCTCTAAGGAAAGTCCTGAAGTTGCAGCTCAAGATTTTTACAAGGGGTTGATGACCAGGGAAGGATGTCATATCCTTAACCTGCAGCCCCAGGCCATATCTGAGAATCTCATACTGGCTTCCCTCATGATCGCAAGAAAGCTTCCAGCAGCAGAGACAGCATACTTCCCTTCCCAGAGATACCCAAGAACCTTCCTCTGGACTCGGACTGTGGGCCTCTCCTTTGCTTCCGCTGAGGCCACTGTCAATGATTATAAACCCATCCCAGTGGCAGACTTCTGGAAACTGTAATGTACCAATTAGCCTCTTACGTTCTCTGTCTAAGCATTGGCCAGGGCAGGCTGGCTTGGCAGTCTTACCTTAATGGAGACAGCCCTGCCTTGTGCGTGAGAGTCGGCTGGGTAGACTGACACCTTCTAGAGGATTCTTGTGCATTTGTTTGAGTGTTGACCCACATAGGCAGAGATGGGTGGGTGGTTGGGCCCCCTTGCTCCTGACCCCGCCCCCCCCATTTGCACAGCTCGCTCTATCCTGCTTATCTGTGGCGGTTTTGTTTGTTCCAGGCCACATTGGGGGGGGGGGGGGAAGGACCAAAAGCCTTGTTCCTGGCAAGAGGGCTTGAGCTGTGCTGAGGAAGACCGCAAGGGTAAACCTTCCCCCTGGGAGGCATGCTCCTAACCACTGCCCACCCAGCGGCAGACAGTGGAGAGCTGTGAGTCAAGCACCCTAAACAGCAGTGACAGGGGGGGTGGGGGTGGGGTTTCCAGAGGATGGAGGGCTGGCCATGGCTCTCCGTTAGAGTCATTGCCAAGCATGCGTGAGACCCAAGGGTCAATCTCCAGACAGACAAATAAATTAAACAACTCTGAAAACAAGTCTACTCAGGTCACTGTGTTACAGAAAGGAGGCCTTTTAGTGAAGAATCGAGGCGCGGGGGACGAGAGAGAGTGGCCCGGGGGAGGGGACGGGAGCTGGCTTGCTGGACAACGTGACCCCTGGGCGCAGCTGGCTTGACAGGGGGCAGCCGAGGGTGGCTCTGGAGTGCGTTGCCCTGTCCCTCCCGGCAAGCTGCGGGTTCCCCGTGGGTCCTGCGCTCTCGGCTGTCCACAAGAGAACGCGGGGTCGCCGCTGTCACAAAGGCGCGTGTTCCAGGGCGGAGAACGCGGGGTGTTGAATCCAAACTGAGTCCAAAACGCTCGCGCGCCTCGGTCTACCCGGAGCCGCGGGAGCCGCGGGGTGGTAAGTTCGGGCGCACACAGCGCCCCCTGCTGGGAACGAGCGGAGGCTGGGGGCTGCCACGAGCCTGGCTGGGGCTACCACCCGCCACCACCACAGACGCTACCCAGACCCAAAGAGCTGTGCCCTCCCAAGCGTCCTCACATTTATTTGCCATGTATTCATTCATTCGTTTGCTCGAGGCAGGGTCTCATATATCACAGGCCGGCCTTCGAACTCCTGCCGCAGCCAGAGATGATGACCTCGACATCTGAATCCTCCTTGCCTCCACCTCCCCAGGGCTGGGATGGTGGGCCAGCACCACCATGCCCGGCTTGGTTCTTGTTTTAAAATAAACCGTATCCCTCACCCAGGATTCACCTTATCGTTTAAAAGCAGGAAGGAAGCGTGAGCTTCCTGCCCCGGCTGTGAAATGGGAGATGGTAAAGATGGTAATGGGACTAATGAATGGGAGGCACTCAAGGAGGCCTGGGTGAGGCCATTCACTCGAGCTGTGTTTGGGAAGGCTCCAGAAACTGTCAAGACATGGCCCTATTGCCATGACCTCCTCCCTGTCTGTAAGAACCTTCTAGCATTATTTTCCCTTCGGTATGATTTACCAAACGTCAGTCATCCCCATAGTCCCCCATGACATCTTTGAAACATCCGCCCACACAAGCTCGTGGAGGCCTTGGGGGCTACATTTTCCTCGCCTCTCAGACTTCACCCAGGCCTCCTCTCTGCCCAGAGACCCCCCTCTTCTATTCGGCTCCGCTTGGTGAGTTCCTAGTCATCCCTCAGAACTCAAACGCCACATCTTGAGGTTGACTCACCGCTCAGTTCCCCCATGATATTAAGCACACAGTAGGCGCTGTTTGCATGCCAAATCGATTTGCACATTTGCACTGCCAGAACTCTTGGTGGCTTACAAGCCTCAGAAAAAAAAACCCACTTAAGATTGCTTTCATGCAAGGTGGTGTGATTGGACATGACCCAGAGGCATCTTCCGGTCTGGCTAAGCCCAGAGGCTTTGGTGTCTATGGTTTATCTCTGCACATTAGCTTGATTCTTACCCAGCATGCATAAAGTACTGGGTTTAATATCCAGCACCGCACAAATTGGGCGTGGCGGCACACGCCTGGAGTCCCAGCACTTTGGAGGTGGAGGCTGGAGGATCAGGAGTTCAAGGTCACCCTTGGATACATATTAACTTTGAGGCTAGCCTGGGCTATCGGAGGAGATCTTTGTCACAAAATCAAAATCCCAAAAAAGCTCCATCAGGGTGCTCCCCATCTGAGGCCTCTGCGCCCCTTTCCTTCGGAGATGTGGGGAGCCGGGTGACAGGCTGGAGCCATCTGCCCGGGTCCTAATAATAAACTGGGAGAGGAAGATGTTCCGGGCTCGCTTGGCTCTGGGGGGGAGGGGCCCCTGTCACATCCAGCACCATCTGCCATGTCCCCTTTGTATGCCAAGCTGTGGGCGGAAGAGGGGACCGTAGGAAGGGGGAGAAGCCCATGGGTCCTCACTGCCAGCGGGGCGGTCCACTTCCTTTTTGCCTCTTTTCACTCTGGGCAGGACATTGGCGAGAGACAGAGAGGGAGAGAGAGACAGGAGAGAGAGGCGGGCTTTGCCGGCTGTGACCTCCAGGACCCAGTGTCTAAGCAGAAAGGAAGCTCAGATCCGTCCCAATGCCAATGGTAGGTGATGACCCGCCGGTCACTCACTGTCCCTTCGTGTACCCACTCATCCTACCCCAGCACCCCATCTTCTGGGCACCAACTTTATAGACGGGAGGCGAAGACACTCAGGGACAGTCCGTGACTGTCTCAGGCTCACCGCAGAGTGGGATTTGAACCGGGGACCCTAAAGAACACCTTCCCACTAACTCAGCAAGGCACTTCCACAAGCGAAGTTCGACTGTCACTTGGCAGCCCTGTGGGTGGGTCTCCCCTGTGACAGTCAAGCCGATGACATCACCCTGGGGTGGGCTTCCCCCTCCCCCGGGAGCCACCTGGAGGGCGGCTTCTCGGGTCACCTGGGCCCCCTCGCCCTGCACCGCGCCCAGGTGAAGAAACACAGGAGGAAGGTCTCTGTGGTCCTTCCGGAGCTCTCCGAGAAGGCCAAAGAGCAGCTGGCCGAGGCGGAGCTAAGGAAACTGAGGCAGCAATTCCGCAAGATGGTGGAGAGCAGAAAGTCCTTCAACTTCCGCAACCAGCGCATGATCGCCAACCAGTAGTAAGAGGGGTGTCCCCGGGGCGAGCCTCGGGCACAGCGCGGGGCAGGGGGCACCCCAAACCCGGCTGGGGGGGACCTTTTAGCCTGCGCTCTAGAGCTTCATCGGATCCAGAGAGCACCCAGTGAGCAGGCTGATCCGGGGGTCTCGGAGGCCCCGGGGGGACAGGATCCGGTTCTACCCCCCTGTCCCCTCTGCCCCAGCCAGGGCCTTGCAGACACACCCTCATCCGTCCATCCCAGTCCCAGCACCGGGGAACCTGACTGGTTCAGGTTTCCAGCTGCGGCAGGGACGGACGGGGGCGGGGCCAGAAGGTGCCTCGTGGGCGTGGTCATCCTCCGGCCCGTGTCGCCAGGGAGGTGTTCCCACGCTGCCTGTGCAGGGCCCAGCTTTTTGGAATTAGGGTGATGAGACCCTTTCTGCAAAGGCAGAAGCCGGCCTCCATCCATCCTCGCTGTCTGGATCCTTGGAGTTCAGAGGAGGGGAGCGCAGGGGATCTTTCATTTTCCCGTGGATCCGTTTACTCCGGCGAGGCTGGTCCCTAGAGGACATCCCTGTCAATTTTTAAAGGAAGTCTTTTTTTTTTTTTTCTCCCAGAGCACTTTACCGCCCTCTGTTGGAAAAGTGCTCCTTCTAGAAACATCTCAGGCTGGGGAGATGGCTCAGCGTGGCACCACACAGGCCTGAATTAGATCCCAGAGACCCCCGAGGTTAGAGGTAGAGAACTGACTCCCACCTTGTTTTCTGACCTGCATACTGCAGTGTGGCAGGCTGACACCCACGCACATGCTCACACACCGTGCACAAATAAATACACGTTGAGAAAAGACAGGAAAGGCGAAGGCTGGAGAGAAGACAGCTCCCTAGCTAAGAGCACTCGCTGCCCTTGCAGAAGATCTGAGTTCGGTTCCCCGCACCCACGTCTGTCTCAGCACCTCCTGTAACTCCAGCTCCAAGGGCCCCGTCCATCTCTTCCTGCCTCTGTAGACAACTCCCCGCCGTGCCCACTCCCATCTAAATAAAAAGGACAGAATAAATAAATATCCATGCACGGCGGTGCACACCTTTAATCCCAAGACTTGGGGGGCAGATACAGTGGATCTCTGTGTATTGGAAGCCAGCCTGCTCTACGTAGAGAGTTCCAGGCCAGCGAGGGCTACAGAGTGAAACTCTGTCTCAAGATAAATACATTGTTCAAGGAAAGGAGGGACATGCTCTGACTGTGAGAGCCACCTTACACTTTAGGGCACTGGCTCCCTTTACCCAGCCCCAGCCCTGCCCAAGAGCCAGCTGCCTTTCCCCGCACCCACTCTCCTCTGTGCCCGACTCAACTGGGCACATTTTCCTTCCACTTAAACAAGGTCCCCTCCGGGAGGGAGCTGAGGGGTGGGGGGAGAGTCCCAGTAGCCTTGGAGAAGACCAGCTACTCCGTTCACTAGTCACCCATGGCCTCTGAAACGGTAGTGCGTTCATTAAAATTGTTTGGGTCTTGGCGCACACCAGAAGTGGGCCCAGGGCTCACTGGGGACAGTGCAGGGACAGGGCATTTATCTTGCTATTGTCTTTGTAGAGTGTCCCATTGTCCTACCACTTTCGTCCTTGGACCATGGCCCAATGAAGCTGCATTTTTATTTATTTATTTATTTATTGATTCCAGACAGGGTTTCCTTGTATAGCCTTGGCTGTCCTGGAACTCGCTCTGCAGACCAGGCTGGTCTTGAACTCAGAGATCCACCTGCCTCCGCCTCCCGAGTGCTGGGATTAGAGGCGTGCGACACCGTGCCGGGCCCCATCTTTTTATTTATTTATTTATTTTTTTTTGGAGACAGTGTCTCTCATTGGCTGGGAGCTTGCTGACTGGGAGAGACTGGAGGGACAGCTAGCCCAGGGGTCCCCCTGCCTCCACTTCCAACACCTGACTCTTTGCATGGGTGCTGGGGTGGACCTCAGGCCCTCAAGCTCACACACAGGAAACAATTACCAACTGAGCCATCTCCCCAAACCTCTCGGTGAAGGGTTTTGACAGGCACCGGGGTGGCCTTCCCCTGAGAAGCATGCACCCCTCAGGGAGGTGGAGCATGTGAGACGGGAAGGACAGGGGTCAGGGACATGGGGTTCCAGATCTGGACCCAAGCCCCCCGGCATAAAGCGTTTCTCCTCTCCCTGGGGCCCAGGCCATCCCCCAGGCTCCTTTTGGGCTAGGGCACCCTGTGGGTTCTGCGAAGGCAGTTTAGGGGCTGCTTTGGTTAAGTCCGAGCTGCCTCCCCTCAGTAAGGAAATCGAGAATCTGAAAGCTGAGCAGGCAGAGACCACCCTGCTTCTGAGTCTCATGAAGTCTCCGAAGAACCTGGACCTGAACCAGAAAAACTTCATGGAGCTGCGCTTCCTGCTGCAGACCAAGGGGGACTATGAGGCACTTATCACCTCCATGAAGGTGCTGTTGGGAGAGCTGGATGACAAGGTGAGGCTCCCCTGGGAGACTGAGCGGAAGGGGCCAGGGACAGCACACCCACGATGCCCTAGGCAGAGCGGACCAGAGCATGGGAGCTCAGCTCCGTTACCTCTTCATGTCCCTGCCATCTCAAGGCTCAGAACCAGCTCCAGCATCCTCAGCATCCACCAACACGGGCAAGGTTCTGGTGCTG